GAAAGGCAGAGAAGCAGAGCAGCCTGCAGGTGAACAATGCAAGTTAATCAAATAATGAACATGTGCTGGCCCAGCCGCAGGCAGCGAGTGTCAGCCAAAGTCAAACAAAAGAAAGAACTTTCTCCGTACTAAGCCGCAGTGCGACCGGCGACCACCGATGACCCAATATGCCAAACACTTTTGCATAAATTTTAATGAATTTCACGCTACAACGATCCGCTCAGCATTGAGCAAAACAAAAATAATTCGCACTGCGAGTTCAACGCGGCGTTAAATTGCGCCAACTCAGTGGCTCGGATGTGCCAGGAAAATTGGTTTGATCTCACAGAACTAGTGGGTAGTAGCTCAGCAGTGGTGCCAACAGCATGAAACATCCATAAAATGATCACCCTTACCAAATAAATAAATAAAAGTTAATATGTTTACAACCAAACATCCAAATTATTCATTTACGCCTTACTTATTTGGAATTTTGTTAGACAATATTGGTACAAAATGGAACGGTATAGATACAATATATATCGAGTTCAATGTTTAAGTTTAAGTTTCAAATCCTTATTATAGTTATAATTGTTTAATTTATTATTTCAATTTTTAAATGTAATAAAAAACTAATAAAACCGTTAATATACGAATATCTAAGCCATAGTAGGTATATAATAAAGGGACATTTTTCGCATATTTTCAGTTGTAACTTAGGCAAATCAAAGAGTACAGGTAAAAGAATTACTGTTTTAAAAAGCTTACACCTGAAGCTAACTTTCCACATCTTTTTCCGGCAAATTTAATTTTTGACCAATTTTTGCATTTTATATAAATCGTTTATTTTGCCAAAAATTTTAAAAATTAAAAATTTTCAGATATGAATGCCATTGGATTGGAAATTGAAATACGAGTTCAACGAGGTATGACATTCCAAAATCTGACCATTTTCTGAATTATGCCAGCCAAAACACTGATTTTTTTAGGCTAAAAAATAAAGAATAAGACTTGTCAAAAATACAGATTTTTTAAAGGGTTTCAATCGTAACTCAACTAAATCAAGGAGTACAGGTGAAAGAACGACTGATTTGAAAAGCTTACATCCATACCTCTTTTCGAAGTTAAGTTGCTGACAATTTTTTCCTATTTATTCATGATTTTGTGGAAAAAATAAGGTAAAACAACTTAAATCTGTGTTTCTTCGCCTGACGAGATGAACACACCTCTGGAGAATACAGGCCAATTGTCACCACTGAAAGTCACACCATTTCGAGCTGGAATCTTTCGACGGTGACATAAACATGCAATTTTGTTGGCCATTTCCTACTGGCCAACTCCCCGAGAGTTATGACCAAAGAGCCATAGAATCTAACTGCGCACACTCGATCTAATGGCCCCAGTCGCGGCCAGTCGACATCTTCCCGACCATCGACCATCGGCCATCGAGAACGGCAATGGCAACGGCTTCCTGTCCGGGGGCCAGACATCAGAATCGGGGCTCTTGGACCATAGATACTACTAACCCAGTGCTGAACTGGCGTTGCGTGCAGTGACCAAACTGGTTGCTCTTCTAATTGCCCCGGTATCCAGTGCGTGGCGATCGCTTTTGAGGAGACCAGGAGATCAGGAGACCAAAGATGCAGTTCATTTCATTGCACCCGGCATTTTGTGGTCAATATGCAGTGCTGCTCATCGGACTCCTCATATTTTCTGTTAATTAGAGCATAATGGCCCCGCTTAAGGCCTGATGTTCATTGGCATTCTGCGGTTATCAGCGGCTCACAAAAACTAAATAAATTCCGGCTCAATTTGATAAAACCATCCCGACCAACTGTAACTGGCACAAACCGTTAGCACTCATACTCGTTAACAAAATGAGGAAAGAAACAAAAACTAAATAGGAACTTAAAGAATTTCAATGAAATGGTCAAGACAATCAACAAGTTTGTTGTCTAAGTCTTTTGTTTGGCTGCTGGCTCATCTCAAGTTCTTAGAATAATATATAAGCTACTAAGTCCGAGTAAACAATGAATCATATTTTTGAGTACACTCATACGCATACTAAAGTTTTATATTTTATTTTTTTTATTGCCAGCGGCAACCGCAGTAGTAATTCAGGTAGGATTGAAGATATAGGAGCAGTATGGAGGGGCCGGGTCTTAAGACCAGTGTGGGGCACTTCAATTGGCTTTTGGCAGCCGTTGTGAAGCACGTGCTTGTCAGTCGAGAATGGTTTATTTGCGGTTTATTTTGATACCCTCGCAGGGGGAACTACTCAACAAGTGGGTAGCTCAAGTTTCTCTGCTCTAGGCAAGAGTATCTCTTTTTTGTCGGTCGTGATTGGTATTTGTAGAGCAAACAAGACTTCCTAGCTTCAAGTGGGCTTCATATATTATTTTTTGCAATATTACTCAGTGTGGTTTGGTACACAAAATCGTTTTATGCTTTCATGAAGCTGAACTAACTATCCACAAGTAATTTAAATAAGTTCTTGAAACTTCAACAAATAACATTTTGTGTTATATGCAAGCATTCATGGACACTTGACTGATTTTAAAACCTAAATTTGTTTTGACTAAACTTTGCTTTACGCTCTGTTTATTTGGGCACCGTACAGCTTTTCGTCAGTGGTTTTTTTGCTATAACAATATAGATCAAATTTCCTTAAGCCTGCCTGAAAAAGTTTGGCAAAGAGCACTTAACTTCAAAACTTGGCTTATCCTCACAGTTCCAACCACAACTCAAGCTACCTGTGGTCACATTTAAAGCGTCACTTCTGACCAAATACGCCAGATTCCTGTTGTTTCTTGTTGGCTTTATTTTCTGTTATTTTTTTGTATAATTTTTACTTCATATACCGAAACGTAAATCGCTTTTTGCTTGTTGGTGGGTTGTTCTCGTTGTCTTATATGGTTGCTGGCAGGCCAAAGCCATGACGACATGGCCAACAAACAGACTCGCTTGTTATATACAAATTTACGTATGGATTGCCATATATTCATATACATATATTGAATCGGATGGCTCCGAGAATTAGCATATTTCATTCGCTTTCAGCTTATTTATTTCAGTTTGTATGCGCTGACATTGAAACTGATTTTAATGGCCCGTAACAACAAAAACATGGCAATGACGACAAGTAAACACGCACTTGCTAATGTGCAAGTCAATATTTAACACCGAAAGGGGCGTCAATTAAAGTGAGCTAACCGTCGACTAAATTTGGGCATCTCTATGTCAGTTTAAGGGTGCGTTAAGCATATTAATCGAAGGTAAAGATAATATAATAAATTCAGCCACTGGGCTTTGTGTTAGCCACCTTTTTTGGTGAGTAACTGAAAGAAAACCTAAAAAGGCGCTAGTTCATTTATTGTTTAATGAGTGTGAAAAGCGGGCTGGCCGAGTACCGTAAGCCAACCAAGTTTCAATTTTAACCGACACTCAACACGCACACATGCGGCGAAATTAACTTTCGCATAAGTTGTTGTTTACATGGGTATTTCTGTCTGACTTTTTGGCCGAAAGCGACGATGGGTAAACTTATATCATCCACCATCGTCATCATTGTTACCCTCACTTCATCATCATCTTTAAGATGATAATTACCTGAGAGACTGCGTTTTGTTTGCCGTTGCTTTTACGTATGCTTCAAGGTTTTGTGAGTTTTGCATTAAACCCAAAAGCCAAGTAGTCTCTGTGTTTTTTCTGTACTTGAGGTTTTTCGAACCGAGGTGTAGGCCGAGTGTTTGCCAAGCCCAGAGAGCGAATTTCGACGCCCACGCCCCGAAGCCCGGTGTTTTATGATGTCATTTCATCCAGCGGCCGCTGACTTCGATGGATAGTTCAACATACCCGTTATCAGTTTTGGAAGGTGGAGTGGGCAGTGACAAGGGCGGAACTTGTCAAACTTTTAAAAGCCAAAGTGTCAGGTAATCAATTGACCAGTCCAGAGATCAAACAATCATTGACAGTTTACTTTTTAGATAAACATAAGACTTTGTTGTGGAAAATACAATGAACCATAAAGAGGTTCCTCAATTATTTTGTTTGAAGAGTATTTAGGTATCTAAAAAAATATCTCCTAAATGTATTTACAAACATTTGTTGGAATTAATTGCATTTTCTTTATGTAGGCATAACAATTTTTGGAGATACCAAACCTTATTGTACTATTATTTTAGGGTAATATTAAAGGTCATGGGCTTATAGTTGAAATATTTTGTATATCTCAGAAAACTGCATAATAGTAAAATGTATTTATAGAAATGGAGGCTAACGTTGAACACAGAAACTATAAAGCTTACAGAACAATTAGTTGGAAAACATATATAAGCTGGTGAAAAACTTATGTCGCATTCAACGAAATTATGGGTTCTATCGGCAGTGAAAAGTGCAGAAAATCCCCCGGATCGACCCAATCCAGACTTGAACTAATTTCGATTGATGCCAAGCCCTAGCAACTCTCACCATGATGGATTTGTGCCATTTCATAGGAAAAACTGAAATCGAACCAAGCCAAATCGGAACTGAAACCAAAACCGAAAACCAAAATCAAGAGCATTCCTGAAGCGCTTACGAACAATGGAGCAATTTTTCAAGGGGGGTTCAAGAGTTAAGAAGAAGGGGGCCACAGTTGGGTAAAAGTTAAGATATCGGTCAGTGGCACATTTGGAGTATGACTGCGGAGTGGGCGGGGAATCGGAGCACTAAGCCTGCCCGCGGAGTTATAGTTATGACCGTGGCTCCACGGCCGATGGTGATGGCAATTGCCATTGCTATTGATAAACTGGCCCCAGCTGCAGTCAATGTGGAGATGGAGAGTTCATTAATTTGTCTGCCCTGGAAAATTGCAGTGGAAAAGCCAAAGACCCAAGACGCCATAAAAATGGGGGGGAAAAAAGAGTGGGGTAGAAGGGCCAACCGGCAGTTAACCCCGTTTTCATGGCCGCCGCAGAACATTATTGTATGCAAATGAAAAGTGAAATGTCCAGAAAGTGCTCCAATTATCTTTCACTTACCTGTCCAACCAGCAACAGCAGCATCAGGGGCAGGAGCCAAAGGCCCTGTGATTCCGGCCTCTTGTCCGTCGTCATCGCGTTCGCTTCCTAAGTCTTTCGTTTGGCTCCTTTGTTCGCAACTATGTGTATCCTTTTGGCCAGCTGCAATTACCCGGAACGTTTATCACCCAATTGAGCAATTGTGCAATTGTCTGGCCCTGATTATAGTCCACTTCATGCAACTCACGCAGTTGTCAAGCTGCAGCTGCATTCGATTTGGTAGGATTTATATTCTTTTTAAATTACTCATCCCTCGTATGACTCAAAGCAACAACTGAGAACAAAAGCTAAGCTTAGATGAACTGAACTGATCTGAACTGAGGTATTTGCGGTTTATCATCTCGTTTTCATCGGGGCATCTTAAGATGATTTCCAGATTTTTGGGGTTCATAACTTTCTATGAAATTTTTAAGTACGCATACGTGACACCAGTGCATCGGTTTTCTAATCTTTTAATATGCCCCTTTTTTTATCTGATTAGCTTTTCTTTCTAAATCTTAATTGGGGCCAACGCAACCAATTCTCACGTATTTCGATTTCGTTTTCAACTCGACCCCGACCCGATTGAACTGCGTCTAATAAACTCCAAAGTGAAGTTTACTTGGAAAAGGGTTTCGCAAATCAAATGAAACAATGAGTTGGAATGCCGCAAACGAGTTTGCTCGAAAAATGTATTTATTTGCCGCACAAAAGATCACACAAAATAGCCTCACTTACGTCATTGGCTCAAAATGTGACAATAAGGCTAAAAGTCCAAAGCAATCAGTAAAAAAAGGTGACATTTGTGATCCACATATTGAATATTTATGGTTAGTCACGGGATCAGTTTTCAACATATTCCTACTAGTAATGTTCTTAATTTATACTATTATTTTTTTGTGGACAGAAGTTATTTATGGCCAACATATGGGATTCATAGAGCTTTTCTAACAACTAACTCAAGCGGAAATGCCTGACACACCTACACAAAAAAACGTGTAAATAAATATTCTTGAATAACTCTTTAATTAAAGCATTTCCATGCATCTGGGCAGTTAAATGCAATACTCAAGGCAGTCTAAAAAGCTCTTAGAAAAAAAACGTTAGTCATTTTTATTAGTTAATGAAAAAAACAGAAGCTGCAGTTAAGAGAGTAACATTTTCAGCTAAGAGAAAAGCTTAAAGAGCATGAGAAAAACTTAATAAACTAGTAAATTCGCGCAAATTCCAGGCCCTAAAATATACTAATTTAAACTTTAACTAGTTAGTTATTAAACTAAAGCTATTTCCCCCAAGTGGGCTATAATCAGCAGTAGTTTTCCATTATTAAATATTGTTTGTTTAGTCAGGTTTTTGTTCACTTTAAAGTTTATACTTTTTCAGCTCTTTTCAACAGAGCGACTTGTGAGCAACACGTGAAAACAAGTTTTATGCAACAGCTCGTTGTTTACTTATTGTTGTTAGGGCCGTTTGTTGAATGGGCTTATTTATTCGAAAAAGTTGTTTTTATTTGCTATTACTCAGCTACCTGCACTCCGCACTGAAAAAACTTCTGGTTCTAACTTTCAAAACGCGTAAAACGCCAGAGTTCAAAATTATTTTGGACGGAACTTTCCGCTTTAGACGTTAACGGATCGAGAGATTGTTGGCAACTGAATCGCAGAGACGGAAATTGCTCTAAGCCAAGCTTTGCTTTTTCAGCTTCGCTGCTTGTTTTTGGCCTCTCTTTCTCTTTTACTCTCTCTATCTTTTCGCGCTTCTCTTTTTGGCCACATCTTCGTTTGTTTTGGCCATTTTTGTTATATCCGCTGGTTCTGGCCATCGAAAGCGCTACCATATCGCTGGAAAAAGAATTTAAACCATGACTTTGGCGCCCAAGCAACAGCTCTCTCAGTTTTGGCCCACTTGCTCTCTCTATTTATATCATACCGCCACGCTTAGTGATAAAAATATTACAATGTGCGTTGGTATCTAGGAGGGGATTCACTGAGAAAAAAATCTATGTTCAATAACAATTTATCAAAATTTTGTAGAAACGCCCAGGAATCACATTTGAAACAAATATTCTAACAAATTAAAATTAAATAAAAATGTTATGCAAGTAAAATTTTATAAAAACAGTAATTTAAAGAAAAATTGTTTGTTTATATCAAATATTTTTATTGTTTACAGCAGGCTCTTTTATATAATTATTAATTATAAAGTTTCATTTTCATTGAAATACTGTAAACAATACTTTTATAGCATAATATGTGATTTTTCTTACTTAAAATCAGTTTCAAAGTTACTCTTGATAAATAAATATAAAATATTTATAAATAATTAAACTATAAACATATCTTAAAGTGATATGAGTAAAATGCCATTCTAATAGTATAGAAATATTTGTTTTCCAGTGCATTTAGTAGTGGTGGTTGTTGGCATTTGTAGCGTAACGCAAACTTCAATGAATCGATATGCCCGCAGGTTTCTCTTACTCACGCATGCGCAAAAGCTTCAAAAGGGGTGGCGCTCGTTCAGTGTTGGTAAATACTGCAAAAGTAACGGTATTTTTCAAGGATTTCTTGCAATTTATCAATGAAAAGTTGTATTATCTTAAGTCTATTTATAGTACTTAACCAAATTATAGTAAATTGTTCCTTTGCAAACTGGTCTAATTATTTATTTACATTTTTATTATTCTTACTCTCTCTTCTAAACTCTCTTTTTGTAAGCTAACTCTCCCTGCTCTCTTTGAGTACTCACATGCCTTTACATTCGCATTCCTTTTGGTGGGAAACTCTTGGATGAAAAGCCCACTCGCTCAGTGAAAATTTCATCACCGTCGTTGACAGTTCAGCCAAAATTCTCTAGCTCCGCACAATTCGCCCAGCCAAAATCTCTAAATTATCTAAACTACATTTTGTGCTCACATTTGATCATCCAAACTCATCGCTCAACGTTCATACGCCATTTAAAGGGAAATCGAAGCGCCCAAGCAGGAAAATTCCAGTGGATTTCTAGCTTTTTTTGGTAAAAGAAAAGTGCAATTGCCAAAAAATCGAAACACGGCTAAAGTGAAAGAAGGAAGAAAAAAAATATATAAGAAATTTCTGTATCAGCTAGTCAGCGTTGTTTGCTCCAAGTGTGAATGTGAGTGTCTGTGTGAATTTGTATTTGAGTGTGTGTGTGGGTGTAAGTGTGTGTGTGTGTTCGTGTCTGTGTGAGTACGTGATAAGCGTAGACAGACGCCGTAACAACAAAAACTAAGACCCCGAGGTTAGAGGGGCACCATCGCTTTTATTGAATTACAAGTAAAACAAAGAGCGCGACTTAGCTGCCGATTAAAGCGTCCTCAAAAAGGGGGGGGGGGGTCGGTGGATAAAGGGGCGGCAGGTGGGCGGTGGCAACCTGATAACCCACAAACCCACTGCCAGCGGGAGACCAACAGCAAACAGTCCTGAGTGGTGGTTTTAAAACTGCTAATTGCTTGGGGAAATTAATTAAAAATCCTAGATGCACACAACCAAACCCAAAAGATACAAAAACTATTTGCTACTTGCGGCCTAAAAGTAGGCAAGACAAAATTGTTTACACTTTGGTTCAGTTTTTAGTTGGTTTTCCGGTTTAAACATTTCTCTAGACAAGCAAAGATAAGGGTTCCTCTTGAGTATAAATTATGGGATAAGTATACTAGGTGTACAATCATGTTTAAAGGAAATAGCCAAAGACATGTCTTCCGTTTGGTAATCCTGACTGATTTATGAAAAGAATTATCCTGCCAAAAGAATGCATTTTAAAATGGGACTTTAAGCTACTTTTATCAAATTATAATAGGTATAAAAGGAAAAAGGGGTCTTCTCTTTCATAATCCTTATAAGGATTACTACCGAAAAGCCTTTAAATGTTTGTGGCTGAAAAAGTCAAGGCATTTAACGAAAGGCTTTCCCTTAACTATGATACAGTCATTAGGAAAAGCATATAATTAACCCTCCACTTTCATTTTAAGAACAAAAGCCCTTCTTTATTTCTTGAACTTTAAGTGGCATCAACTTTTTAGCTTGGCTAAAAGCTGCAAAAGTCTTTGACCCCAGACGGAAATAGCTGCCGCAATTTGCGTGAGCCAGCGCCACGATCTAGACTGAAATGGTTGGCATTTTTAATTACCATCGAAAAGACATTAAGCCCCGTTTTTATGACAGGCCAACGCACATATCAGCACAAAGCAGTCGCGCAGGGAAAAGCCACTGGAAAATGGGTTAAATGTGGCTGCAGGTGCTGCAACTCCGGATGGAGTTTCCCATTAACCCTTTCTCGTATTTCTCGCATTTCTCGCATTGCAGTTTATGTAAGCGGTTGACAACTGCTTAAGCTGCCATAAAAAAGAACTTTAATATGCCACTGACGTTGATGGATTGTGTTGCAACAACGCCGAACCGCCCACAAGACGGGGGTTAAGCTGGGCTATAAACTTTTTGCAGCACAGATTTGCGCTGGCTACCAAAAAGTTTGCAGTCAAGAGAAGTTCCAGCAAGCCTCCGGAAAAGTGGAAAACCAACCCGACAGCCGAGACCCTCAACACGTTACTGTGATTATTAATTCAAAAAGTTTTCACACACACACACACACACGAAGGTCTTTCAGACAACATGGCGTATGAAAATATCATGCAAACCCACGAAGAGGCAAAACAAGAATATCGATGCTAGACTCTTATGAGTTATGTAAGAAAAGCCAGAAAGTTAAGGGCCCCGCTCGACTTAATTTGGCAACTAACAAGGCTCAAACTGCGGGATAATTGAATAAGACTTGAAGTTGGTTAAGTATGTTTAACCGAAAAACAACGTAGTCATTGCTGTTTTGGTGGGCTAAACAAACAATTGAGGTGCGCATCAATAAAAGAAATCGATTAGTAAGTCTGCCTGCCTGCGAGTTAGCATGTCTCCGATGTGCGCTGAACTTTGGCATTTCAGAGCCAAATGCCAAATGTCAGGCACTGTTAAGTTCAGCTTGTGCACAGCTTCTGAGCTTGGCCAAAACCAAAAAGTAAGCCAACAGACTGAGCGGCGTCCCCTGCGTATACGTAATCTGCTTAGCCACAAGAACTCATTACGAGGGCTTATGTCATGAATTTTAGGGGGGAGTATTGGGGATACCGATTTTATTATCGAAAAATTTGATAGTCTTGACTTTGTAATGAACTTCAACAATGTATGTGCATCTCATTCGGTTAACAAGGACGCTTTTCACACGCGACTCCTTTTCCCTACTCATTTGTATGCCTGACCCTCGCAAAAGTAGGCTACGAAAAGTTGCACAACCGCCTTGAATATTTTAGTTATGATAAGTGAATCAGCATTTCGCTGCCTCCCTGGAGACCCATTAACGCAATTTTCCCGCACTTAACTGGGGACCACAGAGCACAAGAAAAAATGAAAGGTTGCTGATTTGTTTAGGTGTTATTTACATACAACATTTTGTTATTTGGTTGCAAATGTTTCAGATTTTTGTTATTGCCCCGGGATGTGCTTGTGTCTCAGTGTGGGTTTTGTGTGGGTTGGTTGGGCTGTAGTGTATGTTTGTTTGCCATGTCCTAGATAGCGGCCACTGCCAGTGCAATGAACCAAAAACAATGTTTGGCTTGGCAGTCGACGGCAGAAAGGCAAAAAAAGAGCAACAAAGGCGACAGCCAGTTGTCTCCTGGGATGTTAACCAGTCGCTCGCCCATTCATTCAGCCATCCAACCATCCAACCATCCAGTGGCACAGTCGTCCAGTTGCCTGGACATCCTCTGCCTGATAGCTGTCCCAGTTGATTTGCTCTTTGTGTTTTCCCTTTTTTATTTCAAGTTACCGAACCGGGAGAAAGGCAGCCAAATAAAGGGGTTTCCAATTTAACTTGGGAAAGGTGTGCGGGGACAAACTTTAAGATCCAATGGGTATCCACAGCGAGTCTATAAAAATATCTTTAAAAGTGCTATATCTTTCTTTTCATTTTAAAAAAAGATTTAAAAGATACAGCAAATTAAAATATTTAACTCCCGATGTATTAGAACGCCTTTAATGATACCATTAATCATAATGTTGTCTAGTTTAATCTAATTTGATTTTGGGTGACACCCATCTCCAAAAAGGTTTAAAAGGACATTGAAATGCCAAGACCCCAAAGTATAATTTAAAGCTAGAAGATAGGAGTCTTAGAAGGTATTTCCATTTTAAAGACATCATAAAAAGAAGACTGTCTTTGCTAGCTTTGGGAATTTAGGAAGCTATTTCGAAAATAAAGGCATTAAAAACGCAATTTTTGCTACTCTGGAATTTATGATATATGTTTAAAGTCTTAAAACAGTTTGAAATAATACACAAAAGACTAGTTAATAAAGTTCTTTGAACTGAAGAAGGAGTTTCTCGAATAAAGCCATCAAAAAACAGAGCTCTCTGGAATTATACTAAATGTATTTGGAAGCCTAATTCTCTTAAATCTCCTTTACAGACTAAAGTAGCGCCCAAGTAGCCTGAGAATTTCCACAAGAACGAAGAAGACCTCAGCGACAACGGAGGCCGACTGTTCGACTTAATTGTCGACCACTGTCAATATTAGCGCCATCGCAACTGCTGGGTGTGGGCGAATCTGCGCCCCGCCACCGGTAAGACTGTTCCGAGAACCGATTCGGGCCTTATGAATACGAAACACCATCACCACTTCGGCTTAACTCTGGCACCCACAGCTATCACCCATCATTTGCCACACTCTCACATATCTTTGGCCTTGCTTCGCTTTCATCAACAAATTGCTTTTCAGTTTTTCAACACCCATCCATCTCTCTTTTTTGAGTTTTCCCATCGAGATGGTCCCTACGCCTAAACACAAAGTGCCCCACAGGCGGTCGGTGTTTTGTTTGGTTTTGTGTGCTGTGTGCTGGGGACCAACATTATAATATAGGGGCTGAAAAGTTTCAAGTTGCGGCTGTAGGCCTGCAGGCCACGATAATAATAAAATACAAAACGCACCAGGCCGTTTTGGCCACAAGTGCTTGACATTGTTGACTTGGCCCGAAAAGCTTGAGAGTCCCCCCCAAAAATCCGATTGATTTCTGACGTTTTGCGGCACACAAAAGATCCTTGCAAAAATATAATGGCTATTTTTGCACTGGCCATTGTCCTGAAATGTCCTTGCCGCCTGCACCTGTTGCCATCAGCTCGATTTCAGCCCCCATACACCGTTCGTTTTTATGTTCTGTACGTGGTGCTTACTTTAATTAAAGTTTAGTTTAAGACACCTTAATTGCTGTTTTTAATAGAATTTTAGTTTTCACTCAGACCGACTTTCTCTCTCTGTCCGTTTTTCAACACCACACATTCACGACATTTTGCTAAAAGCATATATGCAAGTTTTGTAATTTCATGGTCTACTAAACTCATTACTTCGACAGTTCTGTAAGTGGATTTTAGCCATAATCAAAAGAGTTTGTTAAATGCAAATGTACTAATCATTAAACCAGCTGACATATGAAATTTGAAATGAGTTTTCCACAGACTTCAGTACATTACACTACGATTGTGTAATGTTTTTTACGATTTTTACCATCTTTCACTGTGAAAATGCACATTCGAAGTGACAAAATTGCGCATACGCCCCATAGCAACTCAATTAGGGAAAGTTTGTAAGACAATTAGGCTCAAACTGAGAGCTTTTTGGCAAAGTTTGCCCAGCAAATCTCATTAGAGATATCCTCTGGGATATGGTTAAATAAAGGGACAAACATATCTATTGAATGCCTTATTTTATGTTTGTGAGACGCTTTAAATTACTGTATGCCTTAATGTTCAATGTCTATGCACTACAAATCAGAAAATTACAATCATGAATGCCCAAAATTGAAAGCACTCTAGCTAATTAATTGAATAATTAATTAATTTGTGTTTCGCTTTGGTTTAATGTGCCGCGAATCGAAGGAGCCGAAAAGCAGCACCCTGAATTTCTCGTCGTTCAAATCGAGCTTCACTTCCAATGTTAATTTCCTGAAGAGAAGGTAAAGACCTTAAAAAAGGAAGTGCCGCCCTGAAAAGGGGGGCCCCCAGTTGAACGAAACTAATTTGGAATTTCATATGTTCGTCTATTTCTCTGTTTCTCTCTCCGTCTCTTCTTCTCCGGTGGTATTTCTATGCCACCCCATATCATATCTGATACCATCCCACCACCTGCACCATTTAAACTGTTGGAAAACCACCGAATCCATCGAACTATCCACCAAAAACACACTCGAACACGTAATACACCACACAACCACAACCACCTAACAGATTCAGCTCGGGAGACTTGTCTTCCGAGGTAGACGATGTCGATCCGAACAGCCTGCCGCCGGCGGCGCGTCCCATCCAGGATCAGCCGACGAAGCCGCCGGTCGGGGGCGGAGGGGGACCGCCGAACATGCCGCCACCGCCGGCTCCCGGCCAACCGGCCGGAGCTGCTCCGGAGCTGTCGCTGAGCTTTGGCGCCGGCAAAGCCCCGGCCACGGCTGCTCCGGCACCACCACGTGGTGTCAGTGCGCCGACCAGTCCGGCCAAGTCACGTGAAAGCCTGCTGCAGCGGGTGCAGAGCTTGACCGGCGCTGCCCGGGATCAGGGAGCCTCCATTTTGGGTACGCTTGGCTTGGTTTGGCTCCTACACTCAGAAAAATTGACCAGTCACTTCAGTCAAACATAACCTGCCTAGACATAAACATAAAGTCGTGCTATTTCCCTATACATAACAAATATATAAGGTATCCTCTTTTATTGCCATCAAATTTTGAGAGAAATTTCTATATACATCGAGTTATTCCATGTAGATGTTGCCTATATAATAAATATAATACCTTTATAACCATTCCCTTAATTCTACAAGGTTTTCATAGTAGTTTAAAAGATTTTGGTATCATCACGGTTTTTATTTCTCTAGAAATCATAATTACTAGACAGTCTTAATGACAATAAGAAATATTTAAAAAAATGTATTCTAGAATCCATTGCTTAAAATATGATTTCGCCTTTAAACCGATGTCTAGTTATCACAATCTACTGAAGCCCTTTTTAATAGTCGAATAATTTGTGTTTTTTATATAAAAATTAGTATGAAATCATTTGGGACATTATAAAACTCAGTAAATTAAAGTTTAACAAACAAATATGTTGTGTACTATCAACATTTACTTAAAACGGAGTTTCCTAAACCAGTAAATTAAGGTTAAAACTGTGAAAATTCTATCTCTAATGCTATTCTGAAGTCCTTAGAGATAACCATCTGACACAGGTAGAGATGTACCTATGATCTTTTTCTGAGTGTAGGGACTGTTTAATGGTCTCTGGGCATGGAAATGGAATGACATCTAACCCAAAACAGGAGCTGCGGTCCAGAGTGCCACACAGCGGGCTCCGGCTTTTACCAAGGACAAGTACTTCACGCTGCTGGTTTTGGATGACCAGAACACGGACTGGTCGAAATACTTCCGGGGCAGGCGATTGCACGGCGACTTCGACATCCGAGTGGAGCAGGCCGAGTTCAGGGCAAGTACTCTCACATCTCTCACCCGGTAATCGGGGTAATTACTGTGTGTCCTCTGCAGGACATTACGGTGGTCTCCAGCGCGGACACCGGACCGGTGGTCACCATGGCCGCCTATCGCAGTGGGACTCGGGTGAGTTGTCCAGGACACTGGACAAAAATTAAATACGTACATATAGATCAACTAAAAAATTTGTTTTGTTTAAAAAAAAATATTTTTTGCACTTAGGTTCCTAAATATGTTAAGTATTATCTTAATATGAGTTGTTATTCTGAAAAAAAGTACTATTGTACTTTATTGTACTATATTAAATATTATAATACATTTTTAAATATTAGATTACATTTGTTATGATAGAGAGATTCCTCATCAATAGATCCTAATTTAGAATAGATATTCTCTGGTCTTATAAACAGATTTGTAAGTAATGGTTTTTCCAAGTGTTCCCACCTGGGTAGTTTGCGCTTAATTAGCGCAATAGCACTGGCCAGCAGTCATAGATCCAACTTCTCAGCCGGGGATTTCATTGTCCGCCAGTTTTCTGCAGAGTAAAAGGAGCATTGAAAGCGTTTGGCCCAAGGACGTGGGTGGATGGCAAGTGGGTGTCCTGGTGACTGGGTGGCTGGGTGATATAATCCAGAGACCAAGGAGCATTAAAGAGCTGGCTGTCTATCAACAGCCTTTGTGCCTTTTCCCTTATTTGCGTTGCACTGAGCTGGACACTCTGGCGCTCCATTTCCATTTGTTTATTTCAAGTCGTTCTGTTGACTTTACGATGCTGCTGTTTCTGCAGTTGCGTGTGTCACTGGCAATAAAACCCACTTGTAGCTGGGCAAGAATAAAAATAACGAATACGAATACAAATGCCAACTATAACACACTTGTGTCTGTCAGGAAATTAGACGCCAGCTGAATTACGAGTGAAGAGTTTTCAAATACTAAGTGTGTTTTATTAATTCAAGGGCAATGTAAATTAGTTATGGCCAAGTGAATCTTCAGAGATACTTTTCAATGAAAATTTAAATGCTGTTTTAAGGAAATATTATGCCTTTCGTTGGGCTTTTACGACATTTTTATGAGAATTATAGACAATTATAGGCAATAGAAATTCAAATCTAATTTATATTACTCCAAAAAGTATGCTACAAAATTTAAGTACTATGAGGAAGAACGTCCACTCGATAACAGATGGCGCCAGTTGATCATGAAGGCCATTTAATAAACGTTTATTTCTGGGATTAAGAATAAATAAATAAATTCTGTTTTAAATTTTTTTATCAAATGATTATTTTAAATTTATTACGTTTTTTGTTGGTAAGGCTGTTTGTAAATAAACCATTCTAGTTGAGTTTTTAAAAATATATATTTTTCGTTTTTTAAAATTACAAACATTATTTTCTGCGTTTGGCCTTCTAAAAGCTAATTACATTTTCTCATTATAAGTTATGTTTTATATATTTTTTTGGAATATCACACCAAAACAGGTCGCGCGTTCCTTCCGACCGGACTTTGTGCTGATTCGCCAGCCACCGCGCGATGGATCCAGTGACTTCCGCTCCACAATTTTGGGCTTGAAGTACGGCGGAGTGCCCAGCATCAATTCGCTGCACTCGATCTACCAGTTTCAGGTGAGTGCACTATGGTGATAAGCCCCATTTCAAGCTATCATTGGATTATTTCGGCTTAGGACAAACCCTGGGTATTTTCCCATCTGCTGCAACTGCAGCGACGCCTCGGACGCGACGGCTTTCCACTGATCGAGCAGACCTTCTTCCCCAATCCACGCGATTTGGTAAGTGTGCACATGGTTTAAACACATTAAAAGCTAGACACTAATTAAGTTGCTCGGTTACAAGTTCAAAGGCATCAATTAATAAATAACACATTAGGCATAACGTACGTATTAAAGCTCTGGACAGGGAGAGACAGAGAGAAATGGTGGCATATAACAAGGACAAGCGGACATGGGGGACTATCTATAGATCTCATGGGATTGCGGGTGTCTACGGATTGCTCAGGCACTTCCTGTAGAGTTGCGTGCGTCGCCAGCCGCATCGGGAAATCACTCCATTGGGCGTCTCCCTTCTGTGTGGCATGCAGGCACTGTAGTCCGTCTCGCATTTTGCCTGTGGCGACCACTTGCAACCGTCGGCGTAAGTTGGGAACCTGAAGCACTGCTGTCCGAAGCAGGGATGCACCTGGTAAAAAAATATCATAATTAACCAGGACATTTAGGACATGACTGTATTATCTACTCACTGTGCAATTGGCGCCCTTGGCATAGCCACCTCCAAAGCCATGTCGCTCTGTAATCGACATCTTGGTGTACTCTTTGTAGTAGGCGCAAAGGTTCAGGGTCGGCAGTCTTCCCGCTATGATATAGACCTTTCCCAGCTCCAGTCGTACCCCCCCACACATCGCTTCATTTCGGGGCGTCGACAGGCGACCATCGCGAAGCATACGACGGGCCTCGGGAGTTGCCTATAATGTAAATTTTAAAGTTACATAAATAAAAATAATTTAAAAAATTTAAAAGGAATTTCTGCAAATACGATTTTGTGAAAACAAATTCCTATATTCTAGTAACTAATATAGCTACGGGACCGTAAGCTAGAAATAGAATAGTTACATACATATACATAACATTTTAGGGGTAATGGACCTAACAAGGCCTTAATGATGTAACTCCCTTATAGGTACATTTAAGAAAAAATTGATCAAAAATTGATTCATTCAAATCAAAATGAACTAAAATCAATAAGTTCTGTTAATTTTGCCTACATTTTACTCTAAAATCTCTTTTGGCGATGGGGTAATTTTCATTATCAAACTTATTCAAACATGCACAAGAACTTTAAACTGATTCTGAAAAAACAAACCATCATCTAACTAATTTCTCCTTTCTAACATAAAAATGTTATAACAATGTAACCACTAACGAGATATTTTGTAATAAAAGGAACTTCAAAGTGTTAAATTTAGCCAGGTTTCCGCGATGTGCGTGCTTACCTTGTAGGTTCGCTTGATGCTGACTTTGTAGGTGGTCCTGTTTGGCTCAATGGTCTCTGATTTGCGGAAGACTCGCAGCTGCACAACTGTCGATGGGGTGTTTGGAACTTATTTATTGAACCCTCCGGAGATTGGCAGTGGGAAAAACTCACCGTAGTCCGCCTGGGCGAAGTGCGTCTGTGGGTGGGCGGGCATGCACATGCAGGCGTCCACTGGGCGCCCGTAAAACGCAAGGATGGCGGCCAGGACGAGTGTCAATAAACCGAAATGCTTTCGAGAATCCATGGCTGCGCTGCTTGCCGAGCTGATAAAATGACTTTGGCTTTATGTCGCCGCCAGTGAGGCTCCAAGATTACTGCAAGGGGAGCGGAAAATGGGGAAAATTGAGATTGCTTTCTGTTACGTTACGACGGCAATGATTTAATGGGAAAAGGCATATAATCTCCTGCCGAAGGTCACGGAGAGTTTAATTATGTCTGTCTTTCTTATGTCATTTGGCTTATCAATGGAGGCCACACAGCTAGCAGCAGGCAGCCTTCCATCAATCGAGCCCCATCAATCCACTGCTCAATTATGCATTTAATATATTACACATACGCCCAGTGTGTCAGCAATTAATCGCACCCTCTTGTCACAAACACGCACGCACAAGCTCGGCTCATCAAGAGCATAATGGGCTAAAGGCAGAATGATTGGCAAATCCCATCCATCTTTATTCCGGCTTAAGCCTCAATATATTTCATTTCAGACTTACGCAAAGACGTTTCAGCAGCCAATTTAGAATGCATAAATCGCACAAAAGTAGTTCAATTGCCCGGGCATTTCAATTGAAAATTGTTTATGGGAAATTCATAGAAAAACTTGAGACGCACAAATCGAAATCCATTACAAAACCGCATATATCGATGCGATACCACACGATAGATGCACATGGAAACCCGTATGCAGTGCATGGTATATGTACATATATACCCATATATATTAACGCAAAAATATTGTATAATATCGAGAGTGGAAAAGGCAAGGCGGCAATCAGCTGCAGCTCCCGATTCAGCGTTGTTGTCGAACTGATCGACGCAGATAGTCAGGTTCCATATAGACGGACCTATGGCCATATGCACGCGGGCCTATCTATCGTATCCCCCTCTATATGTGCAGAGTCTACAAACCCGGCAATGTGGCAATTAAATTGAAATAAAATTGAATTAAAAGCATTTTGCGGAAAAGCCACTAGAAAACACACGCATCGAGAACAGGGAAAGCGGGAAATGGGGGCAGGGAAAAGCGAGGGGCGGACCTGGGAGGTTGCTATTGATTGAATGCACGCCAAACAGGCAGGAGTAATGCATCAAACTATTTATTAAGTGGCAGCCCAAGTGGCGGCCAGACAAGCAGACGCTGGCACTAATGGGTTAAACTGGAACACACACTCTGGAAAATGGCGAGTTCGGAATGGAAATCACCCTCTGGAGGTCGGTGATTAAACGGTTTTCTAGCGATGGATTTATCTGTCATCACTTCTGAAGGCTTTTTTCATTGGCCATTAGAAAATAGATCATTATTTATGTCTTATTTTAGATAATAATCACTTAAAAATGCGAAAGAGTATATAGCTCATAAATATATATTAAATCCCATCAAGACATTTATACCGTTGAAGAGTTCACTGCTACAAATATTTTAAAAATAATATTGTAACTAAAAACAAGGTATGAGTCAAAAGACTGAAAATATTCCTTGTAATTTATTCTAGAGTATATAATAACATTTCGAAACCCTTGGCTTTATAATGTTAAATTATTTTACGAAGGTCAGTGCCAATTGTATTAATAGAAAAATGCTCTATTAAAAACAAATAGGTTCTTATTATAGTTGTTTTAGTTAAATTTTTCCGCAAGTGTCAAGATATTTCTTAGAAGAGGGCGGCAGAAATAGTAACCGTGTCGAAATGTCATGGGAGAATTTTTCGTGGAAGAAAAGCTGACTTTTCATTCCACGACACAGTGACACTTTGCCCGGCAATTAACGGCGCGGATTTGTTTAACAAACAGGCCGACAAGACAGTACTAGACAGCAACAAACAAAACAAAAAAAATAAAAAACAAACAAACAGCCGGCCAAGGAGCAACAAAAGTGGCACACACAGACAGACGTCATCAACGTTTAGCAGATAAATCAAGTTGAGAGCCAATTGGCAGCAAGAAAAGCGTTTCAGAGGCGATGGAAATTCGCACGATTTCATTGGGACTCCCTTTTCCCCCCTCCCCCAAATGTCTCTATATTTATATATGCACCCATGTCTGAATGCACAATTAGCGTGGTCATATATCACGCAGGCATATGGAGTTTAGAGCTCCCCAAAGCCGGCCAAAATGCAACAGAGTTTTCCACTTTTTTGTTTGGTTTTTCGTGTCGGCTGGAAAATGCTCCCCGTGTTTGTTGACAAGCCTAACACATGTCAATTAAATGTTATATATTATGGCACACGGCCTCCGCTGGAACGTGCCGCATTCGACGTCACTTCACGCCTTTCCACGCCCCTTCTAATTGACACACTTGTCTGCTCTGAAGTTCTGTGTCCTCACCATCATCATCGATGTTGACATTTGACACTGGTTTCAATTTCCAGCGGCTGCAGGGCTGCCAGTCAATTATGCGGGCCACCATCGAAAAAAAAGAGAAAACAAGAGCTGGCCACAATTTCGAAAGATATTAACTCAAGCCTCGCATCGGGTTCAATTGCCATTGATTTCCACTCTGCCCTCAGGCCACTTAAAGAATGCCGGGCTCAACAAAATGGGCAATGTTTATTGACAAACATGGAAACAGTTTCGTTTTTAAAGGCTAATATAAAAACATTATTAAATTAAACAATTTGTAATTGTAGGATACGTTAAAGATATAGAACTCTGAGTAAACAAGTGATTAAGATGTTTTAAGTCATTATGGGAAAGATAAATATTTATACCATACATTTTTTACTTGAACCATATATTTTTAAAAGTCGAAAGACTTAAATATTTTGAAGTCTAAGAAGGCATTATTTTATATTTTAAAAAAACTAAGGCATGTCAAAATTAGCAATAGGAATAACGAGCATAGAAAAATATTAGAACATACTTATAAAAATTTGTTATATCTATTATAAATGTAATATTTCAATGACTTGAAAAACTTATATGTTTGTTATTGTTTTTAAAAATAAATAAGAAGAACAACAAGCATAAGAAAAACGTTTTTAATAACTATAAAAAGTGCAAATTCCATAAACTTTTAATATATTGTATGAATACTTAAATACAACTGTTGAGTAGATCAGTAAAAATTACAAATTCAATGCGACTGTTACAGTAACCATTGGTTTAAATTTGTATGTTTAAACTATAGTTACTGCTAGCAGAATATATGAAATTTAAATCATGTCTAAAAGCTATTTGGAATTATGCAAATTTTATGATTAACACTGGCCCAGACAGGTAGACAGAAAGCAGAAACCAGAGAGATTTCGCAGGTGGTTTCAAGGGGATTTGCTAAGGTCAGACATGAAAAGGCCATGGCTCAAATATAAGGAAAAAAGGAGGGAAAATGGGTAGACCAAAAGGATTTTCTGGCTTCGAAACTAAAGTAGCTAAAGCTTTTTTGGTTTGGTCCACCAATTTTTTTCGGTTGTTTGGTTGCGCGGAAAACTGCGCCAAAATGGCTCGCCAGCCAAAGCCACATAATTAATGCGATTTTGGTTGCTGTTCGGTGTTCGGTTTTCGGTGTTTTGGGAAAGTGGCAAAT